ACAGCGGTGGAGGGTTTTGGGGGACAGGAGGCAACGAATGAGGAACTTGGGAGAGTATGGACAGTCGGCACGACCATCGCCTGTCATCGTAGGTTGTGAGGCAGTGTCCGTCCACCCAGACCGACCGACGCGCCAAATCTAATTATGATTGCCACCCGTGGACACCGCAACAAGGCGCAGTTTTGCTGTGTGTAGTTGTAGATGTGTTTGAGACAGGGCAAGCATGTCGAGGGGGACCGGCAGGAGCCCTCGGTCTGGTGGCAGCGAGGCTCGTATGTTCCATTTGTTCCTGGCGTGGCAGGGTTTGCCCGATGCGCACAGCGACGGCCAGGCTGCTTTGGCTGGCAGGAAAGGGAGGAGGGGTCGGAACCTAGCGCGCGAGACGAAGCGCTCGCGCCAAGTTCTGTACACCAGGGCAGGCGCAAACAACCAGGACGTGACCCATAATTTCAAAACGAGTTGCGATGTCTATCACATGACATGTTTGGCACCGGCGCCAATCAGCCCAGACCATTCGTTGGTTCATACTTGTGCTGCCTCACCCTCGAGGGTGGATCATTGTTCGGACCAGGTCTATTCGCGATTGGGTGCGTGGGCTTGTATTCGGTCGCTTGGCGCGAGACGCGCTACCTTTTTAATTTGGAAACGTCAGAATTCCTGGCGTTATCGCGCAAGGCCAGCGTACACATGCACTCGTGTTGGCAACGGCGATTTCTAGCGAGTTCACTGTTGACCACCTTCAACCTGCGAGGCGTGTCTTGTGGGCCGTGGCGTCAAAGCCCGGGCGCGTGGCTACTCGATGTGCTCGGCTTGCCGATCGTCTGTTCTTTTTTGGGAAGCGACGCTGAACCAGCTGCGTCCGCTTTCGCTTTGTATTCATTGGACAAGTCTCGCACGCCAGACTGCAACATACAGGTGGAGGGCGGATGGGTTCGCCGCAAAGCTTGCGTTGGTCGGAGTGCACCATGCGTCGCTGGCTGCGAGCTTTTTTTGCAAACAGATCGCGGGAAGAATGGGCAGAAGGCCAGGGGCAAGGATCGGGCGGGGCCAGGACTCGGACGGCTCCGTTCCGGAGCGTGCTGGAACGCTCTGGGAACGCTTCCGAACGGCCTGAAAAGGCCGCGGCGCCCGAGACATCCTCTGGAACCGCCGGCTCTCAGAGCTCCTCGATTTGTCCTCATCCGATGTTCTCCTCGCCCTGGCCTCGTCTTCAGGGATCGCAGGCGCAGGCACGCCGCCAGGGCCGGCCAGGCGGCACGCGAGAGCGGAGCGGAGAGGCCGCTGCAGGCGGTGCGCCAAGGGGTGCTGTGAGCTCGCCGTGGCTGCTGCTGTCCCTCAGCCTCGGCGTCTGCACTGGGGGAACCAAAAGTGACATAAACATAAAGCTTGGAGGTCCGCGCGGACCTCCTAGTTTTTGGGTTTATGTTATTTTTTGTTCCCTTACGCACCGGCCGTCCCGTCTTCTGTGGGTTCCTCCAGGCCGTGCGCAGGTTTTTTGCCGGCGGCTACAGGGGGTTGCGGATGCGCGGGGGGGTGGTTTGCGATCGGCACTTTTGGTGGCCTGGGGGGCACGACACTGTCCTCGTCGGGCCTCCTCGGGGCGCGGCGGAAAACTATATCGAGGTCCCCGCCCGCCCCACAGGGTGCCACCCAAGGTGCCTGTTGGAAACCACCCCTTTGCAAGCCACACCCTTCGGAGTCGCCGACATCTAATGAAAAGTAATTTGGCGAAGTATCGTATGGTCTGGCTCCGTCTGGGTGCTTAGCCCCGTTCACAGTCGAGTCAGCTTGGACCCGACGCTTTGATTCAATTATTGTGGCCCGCGTTCTTGTTTTCGCCGGCTCCCTGTCCTGAATTAATTTTGAGCTTGTTCGGAATTTCGGCGCACGTGCCTCAACTAGGTCAGGTGGAGTCAGCGCCTTGATTAGCATGGAGACGTAGATGTTGTCATGAAGCGTGAGCAGAGTGGCTCCGCCCGTTGGCGCACCGTGAATGTTTAGCCCCGTGGGCTTGTTGGTGGGCTTCGATGACCGGTATTCCAGTACTGATTTTGGACCCATTCGAAGAACAAGTCAAAAGCCTTCCATCGAAAAGAAAAAAACATAGACATAAACTTTTGGCGCTCCTCGCGGCTTTCTTGGATTTGCGTGGGGCCCCCCTGGCGGCGCCTCTGTCGCCGCTACTGGCGCGCTCCGCGCGCCCGGGAGGGGGTCTGGCGCAGATCCCCAAAATCCGCGCGGAGCACCAACTGTTGATGTTTACGCCATTTTTCTTGTTCTAAAAAAGGAACTTTCCAGAGTCCATTCAGAGGCGTCAGAGCGGGACAAAAGCAGCCTCGGGAGGCGGCAGTGGGCGATTCTGTTGACGGCTTCGGCGTCGATGTGGGAAATCTTCCGCCCTGTTCCCCGTGCGTGCAAGGTGTGCAGCGCCCAAACCTGGCGGGCAGCTGGCGTGCGCCGCGCATGTCGGGCCTCCTGCGCTGCCGGCTGTGAGGCTCAGGCGTATGCTGCTTTCCTTGCTTTCTCCCACCCCGTGCTGCAGTGGGAGGCGGAGGAAGGCGGAGGATGAGTGGGAGGCGCAGGAAGGGTGGAGGAGGTGGATGAGGGAGGAGGAGGGGGGGAGAACGGAGAAGGATGTGGGGGAGAAGCAAGAGGAGGAGGAGGAGGCAGAGGAGAGCAGGAGGAGGGGGAGCTGAGGTGGGGGGGAGGAGGAGGAGGCAGAGGAGGAGGCCAGAGGCTTTCTTGGGACAGCCTGGGGCTCTCTGGAGGCCGTGTTGGGCAGTCCGGGGCTCCTCTTGCGCCGTCTCGAGGCACTCTTGGGGGGCCTGCTGGGCAATTTGGGGCTCTCCTGGGCTGTCTTGGGGCAGTTTGGGGGCCCCTTGGGAGCCTCTTGGGGCCTCTTGGGGCTTCTTCGGGGCCTCTTGGGGACCTCTTGGGGCTGAGAGCTCGAAATGTCCGTTCGGGCCCCCCGTCTTGGCACTCTCCTGGATATATATATATATATATATATATATATAGAGAGAGAGAGAGAGAGAGAGAGAGAGAGATAAAGAGAGAAACATAGAGACAAACCGAAAGAGAGAAAGAGAAAGAGAGATAGAGAGAGAGAGAGAGAGAGAGCAAGAGAGAGAGAGAGAGAGAGAGAGAAAAAAGAAAATAATGAAACACAGAGAGAAAAAGAGAGAGAGAGAGAGAGAGAGAGACTGGCGTCAAGGCGCCCGGTCCTATGAGCAACACGCTTTTTCAATCTTCTAGACGCTTCGGGTCACCCGACCAGCCCATTCAAGAACGATGCCCAGGCGAGTTGCCCTAATCGGATGGGGAGGAGCATGCAGACTAATACATAGCTAAAGTGCTATGGAATCCGTCATGCCCCAAGAGGGGGAGGATTGAGGATGGAGGAGCGAGAATCGGCGGCGGGAAGTGTTAAGGAGAAGGCCTTCTCAGAAGGCGGCGGGACTTCTCAGAAGCCCTCGCGCCTCCAGATAAGCTTTCTGTGTCTTCGGGGAAGGATCAGAGACCCTCTCAGGAGGCCAGGGGACTTCCGAGCCTTCTGAGCAGGCCTTCTCCTTCTCACTTGCCCCCGGGGCTCGCCGCCGAGAGAAGGACGAGAAGGAATAGGTGGAGGAGGAGGAGGACGAGAAGGAATAGGCGGAGGAGGAGGAGGAGGAGGAGAAGGAGGAGAAGGAGGAGGAGGAGGAGGAGGAGGGGACGAGGAGGAGGAGGAAATGGGGGAGGAGGAGGGCCAGAGGCCTCTTGAAGGCTTCTTGGGGTGTCTTGAGGGTTTCTTGGCGGTCCCATTGGCCTCTTCGGGAATCTTGTTTTTCCTCTGTAGGACCTCTTCGGTCTTCTTGGGGCCGCTTGGGAGCCTCTTGGGGGGCGTCTTGGGGGCGTCTAGGGGGCCTCGTGGCGCCGCTTGGGCGCCTCTTGTGGCCCTCTTGGTGCCCTCTTGGGGCCTTCTCGGGCCTTCTTGGGAACATCTGGGAGGATATCGATCACGGAGGGGGGTCCTTAGTCAGCCTCGCCCCTCTGAAGCTCCCAACGTCGCCTCGCGGGGCCCTCTCGGGGCGCTCCTGCTCGGGGCGCTCTTGGGCGCTCTTGGGGCCGCCTTGGGGCCATCTTGGCCCCCTGTTGGGGCTCTCTCTGGCCTTCGCGGAGCCACCTTGAGGCCTCGGGAGCCCATCGGACGGCGAGAGGGTCACAATCATTCGTTTAGTTACTGGAAGTTTCGGACTGATTTTGGCCTCTTGGGGGCCTCTTTGGGAGTCTCCGCGGCCACTTGGAACCATCATGGGGCCATCATGGGGCCATCATGGGGCCATTATGGGGCATCGTCGAGGCATCCTGGAGGGCGTCTTGAGCCAACTTGGACCCTTTTGTGCCATCTTGGACGCCATCTTCAAGCATCTGGAGCCCTCTTGGATCCATGTAGGGGTAGACGTCTTCCAAATATGCACCCGGAAAGCCCACATCGTTCAAAACCCTTGTGTTTTCCAATGTGTTCGTTGATCAAAGAGGGGCGGTACTTAGTTGCCCCCCTCATCCCCTCTGGAGCTTCCAACGTCTCCTCTCGGGCCCCTCTTGGGGCGTTCTTGGGTCCTCTTGGAGCCATCTTGAGGCATCGGGAGCCCATCGGAAGCGAGAGGACGCGACGGCCACAATCACTGTTTTTCATTAGGTTTTTGAATGTTGGGAGCCTCCTTAGGAGGCTCCGAGGTCAGTTGGACCCGTCTTGGGCTGGTCTTGCGGTCTCTTGGAGCATGTTGGAAGCCATCTTGAGAGATCTTGCGCGATCTTGGGCCATCTTGGAGGTCATACTGGGCTCTCGGAGACCCTCTTGGAGCCATCTTGGGCCATCTTGGACGCTCCAACGCCCCGTGGAAACTTCCTCACGTCCACGGGGAGGGGGTAGGGGGATAGTGAGTTTTTTTCCGGCCCAGGGTCCAGGGCATTGGGAGTTTCTCTCGGCCTCGAGTGCCTTTTTAGATGGTCCAGGAGGGAGCCCCGTGGCCGCCAAGACGGCCAAGGGTCGCCCATGGCGCGAACCGCCCGCCCCGACTTTTTGACCCGCGGCCCTCCACTGCGAGTCTTGGTCTTCAGCGGGCGGCGCCCAGCGCCAGCCGCACCGTGGTCAAGAGCAGCCTTGGCGCGCTGAACGGGTCTTTGACTGAGGGCGACCTGCGAACGCATCGCGGCAGCATCTCTCGCAGCAGCGTCGGGGCAACGGGCAGCACCACCGAGGCCACGAGTCTGCCGACAAGGAAGACGTTCATGCCGAGCCTTGCGACGGCGATCAAACGCGCCCCCGCAGCAGCACCCGCGCAAGCAACACCACAGCCACAACGAACCTTGCGACCAGCAGCAGCATCAGAGCGGACACTTGACTGCTGCGGCGAAAAGTAGCACGCACACAACGCAAGCGCAACGAGTGCCACCACATCGGGCACAACGAGTGGCCAGCAGCATTAAGAGCAGCATCAGCAGCAGCAGCAGCAACAGCAGTAACGTGGCAAGCGCTACGCCTGAGTTGCCGCGCAGCAGGAGTGCGGGAGTAACGACAGCACAGCAGCGATCAACGATGTCGACGAACAGCAGCGATGCAGCGGGCATTGCCACCGCGACCAGCCTCTCCAGAAGGTGGGACCAACAGCCCAGGACGCGCCCCGAGCTACGGCAGCCTTGACTTTTTGACTCGCGGCCCTCCGTTGCGAATTTTGGTTTCCAGCGGGCGCGGCGGCGCTTAGCGCCAGCCGCAAGGGGGTCAAAAACAGCCGCAGCGCACTGAATGAGACTTTGACGAAGGGCGAATTGCGAACATATCGCGGCAGCATCTCTCACAGCAGTGCTGGTGCAACGGGCAGCACCACAGAGACCACAAATCTAGCGACATGGAACATGGTAACGGCGAGCCTGGCAATTTCTACCCGTGGCGTCCTTGCAGGATTGCCAGCGCAACGAACAACACCGCAGGCACACCAGCCCTTGTGAGTCCCTTGCGAGTGGGAACAAGATCAGAGATAGCAGAGCGAACACTTGACGACTGCGGCAAGACATGGGACGCACACATCGCCAGCGCAACGAGTAGCACCGCAGCGGGCACAACGATTGGCGAACAGCAGCAACGCAGCGGCAGCAGCAGCAGCAGCAGCAGCAGCAGCAGCAGCAGCAGCAGCAGCAGCTGCGGCCGTGGCAGCGGCAGCAGCAGCGGCAGCGGCAGCGGCAGTGGCAGCGGCAGCGGCAGCGCCACGGCAGCGGCAGTGGCAGCGGCAGTAGCAGCACCAACAGGGAAATATTACGACTGTTAGTGGCGCGCCGCAGCAGGGCTGGCGCAACGACGGCACAGCAGCGACCAACCCTGTCTACGAGCAGCAGCAATTCAGTGGGCATTGCCAGTGCGACCGAACTCTCTAGAAGGAGGGACCAACAGTCCAGGATGCACTCCGCGTCACGGCAGCCTTGGATTTAATCCGCGGCCCTCCATTGTAAGTTTTGGTCTCCAACGCGGCGGCGCCCAGCGCCAGCCGCACTGGGGAAAAGAATAACCCTGGCGCCCTGAACGGGTCATTGACCGAGGGCGACAACATCCTTCACGGCAGCCTCGGCGCAGCGTGCAGCACCACAGAGACACCAGGTTTGGCGACAAGGCAAACGCTCACGGCGAACACTGCGAGGCGCATGTTTTGCTTCTGTGGCGTGCGTAGTTCATCGCGTTCCGCGCTCGGCACCGCCGGTCCTGCCCTGCTCCTCGGGCGCCCGTCCGCGGCCGTGTGGTGGGCCTCGTCGGCGCTGTACCGTGCCTGCCCTGGCCCACGCGCTCGTGTTTTCTCCATCCTGTCCGTGTTGGTGCGGGCCCCGCCGTCTATTCGGCCTGTCTGTCTAGTCATTTTGTTGTTGTTGTCGTCGTCGTCGTCGTCGTCGTCGTCGTCGTCGTCGTTGTTGTTGTTGTTGTTGTTGTTGTTGTTGTTGTTGTTGTTGTTGTTGTTGTTGTTGTTGTTGTTGCTGTTGAACTCTCCTTCTTGAAGAATAATTATTGTTGATCCCCCCCCACCGGTGCACATTGATTTTTTTGGATTGAAGTGCCACCCCCGGGGCTCGCACCTCGTTTTTTCTAAAGGAAAGTCTTCCTGCTCAAACTGTGCCCCTGCCCCCCGGGCTACAACAACAACGGCTCCCGCCTGAGACTTCCTCGATTTTTACTCAGGACCCCCGCTCCCGCCTGAGACTTCCGCGCAATTTACTCAGGAAAGGCGCTCCCGTCTGAGACTTCCTCGCAATGTAATCAAGACCCCCGCTCCCGCCTGAGACTTCCGTGCAATTTACGTGGGAACGGCGCTCCCGCGTGAGACTTCTTCGAATTTTACTCAGGACCCCCGCTCCTGCCTGACATTTCCGCGCAATTGACTCAGGAACGGCGCTCCCGCCTGAGACTTCCTCGCAATTTAGTGAGGACGACCCCCGCTCCCGCGTGAGACTTCCGTGCAATTTGCTCAGGAACGGCGC